GTCGCCTATATTGGTCGCTCCTGCATCCGATGTTTTGTGACTTAGCCGACGCCCCCCCCCCGCCATCCCGTTCGGTATGCGTACTTAAATACACCGAGGAGATACCCTTAGTTACAGGTAAGAGAAAACAACCATAGGTATCGGTCCTTCATAGGTGGGGAAGAAGAAACCTACACCCTTAGAGGCGAGGTACTCCATTCCAGTGGCGACCTGCCTGCAGAATTGTGGGAAAGTTGTCTCCCTCTGGGTGCTGGCTTGCAGAAAGGAGTTCCGGTTCTCTCGTAGATAATGCAGCAGACTGCCGCGTGCTGCGTATTCCATGACCATCAACGGTCGACCTGCAAAAGATACGAGTCTATTCTATTCTGGGTTTGAAGCATCTATCTTGAAAAAAAATGAGTAGAAAGTGCTGGCATCCGAGGAATGAACTTTTATAGCCCGAACCCCATGGACTGCAGACTGTAGGACCTAATAACTCAGCTCCGAGCAATCCAGCATATTGTACCGCATCCTTTGCCTAACCTGGACTGTTAATTACACAGGTCAGACGGAACGCACGCGAGGATCACGCGTACGTGAACATAAGCCGACTGTGCGACCGAGTGACGAATTATCACAAGCGGCGGCTCATGCCAGGGGTAATACAAGCCGTGAATCGACTGAAGCCCGAGTCCCAGATGAGAACTCCGACAATGGATGTATGGATCGAAGTACAGAGCCTGCACAATCGCAAACTGTCCTCAATGGTGTTTGATTGGCTTCTTACCCATATAACCTTTACTTCCTTTCTTTAAGATGGAATCCTGTCGGAGTTCAAAAGGTCATCCTAATAAAGAATTGGTCTCGAACAGCCTTAGCTGTGATAACTGAGATCCAAGTTAACTACCTAAAGCATCCTGCAACTGTTTACGACAACTAATGCAAACACAATAAAGAGTGCTGGCTTGCATAAGTTGCGAGGATTCTTTTCTGAGTGGGGAACCAAGACTAGCAGTGCGATATGTTTGGCGAACTATATAGGGTAGGAGCACCTCGAGGGGCCGCCTGGGGGGGCTCCTGATTTAAGGGAAGAGGGCGGGCGGAGTATGTCAGGGAGCGAATAAGATACAAGCGATCCTGTAAAATAAAAAGTTACGGGGGCAAGTTGGGTCGCGTGCAAAAACCTCCGGCGGGGACACTGAAGTACGCATTAATATCATCGCTAACCCCCCCACCGGACCAACGGTGAGCGATTGTGTCAGGGAAGTGTGCCCTAACCTCGGGCGAGGTTACTGAGGTATATTTTATAGTTGTACCACTAACCCCAACCAGAAGAAAGGCGAACGAGTGAAGAAAGGTGAAGATTTTTGAAATTGACCCTTCTTATAATTTTGTAAGTAGATGATTGTTCGCCGTTTAGTTTGAAAAGGCGTTTTTGCTTAGTAAACTGACTTAAGAGGTCATTGTATGCGGCGACCTTCCGCGGACAATTCTGCAGTTCAATGCCGTCACCCAATAACTGCCGGATCGACGTCTGGCATAAAGAAAACTGTCAGAGAGTAGATAATTCAACTCACTTAAAATTTGTAAGAAGCGGCTATAATACATAAGTATCCTTCGAAGA